CGAGAAAATAAGAAGCGACACGTATAGTAAATTTAGAGCCCAAATTCTCTAAAAAATTCAATAAAACAGATTGCGAAGAACATTTACTTAATTTTTTAAAATTACCGATTACTTAAAAGGTGTTCGCACTTTATTCCTCAATTATCTTTTAAGGTTAAAGCCCCCGTAAAACAACTGTCATGGAGGTGTTAAAAACCTGTGAACATGCTACCGTCGAGTTGCAAAATGCATTTCTCTGATATTAAAAAATATTAGTTGTTTCAAATCAGATTAATTATACTTTAAATCAGCTAATATTTCTCAAATAAGGTTTCAGTAATGTATATTTTATTTTTGAAAGATTTTTTAAATAAAGACATTTACATTTTTATAACAGTTAAAATGGCGCCAAAATCAAAAATTTTAGAAATTTCAAAAAACAATTTCTTCCAATCAATTTAATTTAGTTTTTTGAATACAGTATAATATTTTACTTCTTGTAAATATTTCATTTAATCTCTCAGTTACAAATTGAAAAAAAATTAAGAAATTTATTTAGAATAAAGGAATTGAGAGAGAGAGAGAGAGAGAGAGAGAGAGAGAGAGAGAGAGAGAAATAGAGAGAATTAATACAAATATAATATTTGTTACTTAGTTGATTGGTGTTACCTTCAGCATCCCGAATCCGGTTTTGCGTAGATGGATCCTTCTGTTATCACTCCGTACATTCGTCAGAAGGAAAGAGAGATAGCGTGAATTAACCAAGAGTGAAAAAGAAAAGAATGAGATAGAAAATAATATCGAGTGAGATAGGGAGACGGAAGAAGAATGTAAAAATGTATGGAAGATAGAGTGAGAAAGAGGAGGAAGAGATAGAAATATAAATAGACAGAGAGGGGGACGAATTAACAAAAACAAAAAAGAAAGAGGGAGCGGAAGAAGGAGAAGGAGAATAATCTACAGAGTTATATAGAGAGACGGAGAATGGAATGTAAACAGAGGGAAAGTGTGAAAGATATAAATAGCAAAGTTGTATAAAATTTATCAAATAGACGAAAATTTATAAAATTTATCGTTAGACGCAAATAAAATACTGTTTAAAAATAAACGCAGCGTCTCGTCAAATATGGGTATCTAGTAAAATAGTACTTAAAAAAGTGTTTTGTTTACGTTTCAGATACCAAACTGAGCAGATATGAACGTTCGAGAATCTGGAACGAAAAGGAATTGTGCTTGTAAGGCAATATTCGGTCATGATTGATTGTCGACGCCCTTCTTGGCCAAGTAGGTTAAAAGCACCTCGGATCTAACGATTATTTTTCCTGCAAAGGGGGACGCGAGTTCGAATCCTACCAGTGGGCGTATATTTCTTTAATTAGATTTTTTGAATATTCAGACCGACAGACGAAAATGAAATACTGCATCCACTAAAAAAACAAGCAAACAAAAAAAAAACAAAAACATTTAGAGTCGGATTAATAAGTAGAAAACAATTAATTCTATATATATATATATATGAAAATTTCTCCGATTTAATCGGTAGAGAAGACAATATTTATGACTAAAAATGACAATAGGAAAACTGGTAATTGCTGACGCGTTTTGTCAAATGTGGACTTTATCAAAGCAAAATACGAAAATGAAATTAATTGAACAAAGTAACTAATAAAACCAAAAACAGAATGTACCTAGCAACTGGAATGTAGAGAAACGCTATTTTCATATTTTTTTAACTGAAAAATAACGTCAGAGATTGTCACGTGTGGAGAATATTGTCATTATATCTGTGTTGATGTATTCAGCCATTTTCTTTCGATTTTATGAATCTGTTGTGCATATTTGTTTGTAAGAGCATTAATTTTGTTAAGAAAGGTGAAATAGGGAAAAAAGCCTGGGCGTAAATTAATATTTGGATAATTTTCTATGGCGGCACTCTCCAGAATTTTCCTTCTGAGTGAGTTATTTTTTTTTTTATGAGTGTAGCATTTTTAAAATTAAAATTATGGTTGTATTTATTTCATATGACTATTGCATTAGCTAAAGGTCTCTTTTTGCTCATAAATGCGTTTTTCAATTATTTTCGGGTTATATTTCATTAATTGAGCCTCAGAAATTTTGATAAAGGTGGAAGAAGATTCCTATGAAAGAACCAGGGAGAGGAGCGCGATGACCTTAATTTCCATTAATTCCTGGGAGTAGGATTTTAGGGGAGCGTGAAAAAAAATGAAATCCCGGAACGATTTGCTCGTTGATAGCAGAACGATTGGTGGTATTCTTTGCAAATGACAGACACTATATTCAGAGTTCCAGAAATATTAGTAGATCAAGAAGAGAAACCTTACCATTTTTGTGGGAAAAACTCCAATTTAGGATCTAAAATTGAAAAATTAAGGGTTTGAGAGAAGAGAGAGAGAGAGCAGTTTTTCTTGGGAGGATGGACAGCGATAAAAAGGAAGTATTATGTGAAGGGATAGCCTGAGGCACACATTGGTCTGGATTCATTTGACAGCTCTTAGCCAGATGGTCCTTGACTGGGCCATCCATATGGGTTTGAGATTTTTAGAGGGTCAAGGGAGAGACGAGACAAGTTTGGTCTCACCAGAAATATCCGTTTGCATCAAGGAAAAATTCAACACTGCAACATGTTAAAATTGTTAAAGGGTTTAGGTGATTTTTTTAAAGGGCTGGTTTATCTTTTGGATCGTTGTTAGTTATCTGTGATTTTGTGTTTGACACTGAGATCCGTAGACGTATTTTTCAAGGCTCATTATTTTCTTTGTTAACAAAGAAAAGAATGCAGAGCTTTACGTTTACTATTTATGTTTCTACAGAAGTATGTAAGGGATATCATGGGCCATCCCAACATTGTCTTAGGTTGAAAACAAGGGATTTGTTTAGCAATGAATATCTATTGGTGGCATTTGGATGAAACGTGGTCTGGAGGAGGAAGCAACATCTAAATATTTTAAGACAATTTTATGGTTTCAACAGTATTCAGGAAAATGGTCATTTTATACCACCATTTTGAAGACCTTTTTAAAGAATTTTAATACATTTCATTAGAACTTTCCCCATATGTATTAGGACAACACATTTTTATGTTTTCACTGGATATTTTTCCAGACTCTTTGACTACATAAAGCTTTTTACATGTTTTGTCCCTATTTAAAACATATTGTTGGTTACAGAAGGATTTCTATAAATATGTGCAACGGATAGTGCAAATTTTTTATAAAATCAAATTATTGCTGAATTTTTGGGTGGTTTATTTTTAGCTGGCGCGAAAATGCTGTGGATGACAGAACTTGGTCTGGGGGGAAATTTTTCAATAGAGGGAGGTGGAGATTCACGTCCTGAAAGGACATGCCATAAAAAAGAAAAAAGAAGTTTGCCATTTCTTTCTGCTACGGACCCTATAGTCAGCAGGATGGGATGAGTAGAGACTATAAAGGCCCCAATCTGGGAACTCGGTGTTATCATCTTTGAAAGTTAGTGAGCCATTGAATTCTGAAAACTGATAAAGCGTGTTTTTTTAAATTTTTTCAGTTATTTTCGTATATGTTTAGCGTGCGAAATCGATCGATAGATCAATATCCAGAAAATTTCTATTTCAGCAGCTGGACATTATTGAGTTTTAGTTGTTGGTTGGTTGACTTTTTTAGAAGCATATAAATATTTTGAACGCAACAGTATCATTATTGCTATTTTGCTGTAAAAAATATAATGTTGGTCATTTCAATATTATGTATTACTCCTTTTTATATAAAAATGTATCGCTGGTAAATAATCCAATGTGAGTGTATTTTTGTCGTAAAATTTTGTTTAGCGTTATCAATTTTAACTTTTAATAACATCTAAAGCCTTTTGACAATTTTATTTTCAACTATGACAACTATTTTGGTATAACATGTATCGTTGGTAATTTTACTATAAAAAGCTTTGCTGGTCATTTTGATTTAAAAACATATTGTTGGTTATTTTTCTATAAATATGTATTCATAGTTCTTTTTTTATAAAAACAAATTATTGCTGGTATTTTTACTATAAAAATTTATTTTTATACTTTCATACTGTTTTGTTTGGGATTCACTCTGTGCCAATAGCTGGGACCCCAGCAGGTTTGAAACAAACGCAATTATGGTTCGACGCTCCTGGTTCAGAGTCCTTACTGCCAATCATTATACCCAGGATTTTAAAATTTTAGTGGTTTTAACTTTATTACTAAAAGCCTTTGTTTCTTTTGATGACAACTATAGAGGTCAAGGTGTGAATCACAAATTGGAGATGCCAAAATCTAGCAAGTACGAACATTTAAATATCTGGGAAATGTTTTAACAGTGGACGGAAATGTGACACCGAAATCCAAAGTCGCTTTGGAGTAACGAAAATGCCTTTCAAAAGCTAAGCACAATATTAAGAAACAAGAAAAATCTTTAGAAACTGAAATGTTATGTAATATAATTCCTCTTCTATTGAATCGTTATGTACGAGGTCTGTCTGAGAATTTACGGGACTGGTGTCACAAACAATTTATTTTAATTCCATACAACAAACTACATGGTTTCCCCTCAAAGTAATCCTCTTCGAGTCTAATGTACCTTTCTATCCCTCTTTGCCACATTTGTATGCACTTCTGGGAGAATTGTTCTTGGATGCCTCTCAGCTGCGTCAATACGGCTTTTTTGATGGCCTCTACGACTTCAAAACAGGTCCCCTTGATAATCTCCTTGATAATCCCCTTGGTAATCCCCTTGAGCTTGGAGAAAAGAAAAAAAGTCATACGGAGCAAAATCAGAGAGATAGGGTGGTTGTTCATTTGTGGCGATGTTCTTCTCCGCCGGATGCTCAGGGCGTTCTGAGCAGGTACCTTGTCGTGGTGAAGCAGCTACATTTTTTCCTGCCACAACTCTCGTCTCTTTTCGCGCAATGAGCGAAGTAAACGCCACAGGATCTCTTTGTAGACTTGCTGATTCAGCGTCTGACACCGTGGCAAGAACTCACTGTAGACGATACCACTCACATCGAAGAACGTGACCAGTCCCGTTACTTTTCAGACATACCTCGTAATATAATTCTTCTTATATGGCACTGACTGCTGGGTAATCTATTCACAGATGAAGTGGAGACTTGAAGCAATAGAATAGGGTTTTACAGAAGCATGTTGAGAATAGCATGGATTGAATATGTGAGAAAGGAGGAAGTTTTAAGGAAAATGGTAAGAAAAAGGACGTGTGTATTTAGAATATCAGAGGGAAAGTGTTGAAATTTCTAGGAGTCGTAATGAGTGATATGTCCCGTAAAGGGATATATTTGAACGAAGTAGCTAAGTGGTTTTGGCTGCTATAACCAAGTACAATACGGTAGCAGTAATCGACTGGTATGCGTCGTAGTCGCAGGTAAGTGTAGATCAATGGCGTAGTCCAATGGGCGTCGTTATAGACTTAGCTCTCAGACTAAGGCTCTTTACTCTGTCACACCCAATCATATTCCAGTGAGGGGGAACACAGGTGCACGTGTATTCCATTATATCAATGAGAAAAGAGGGCTTGGAGAATTTGACGCTGATAGGACATATTGAATGTAGAATGGCGGCGGGAAGCAGAGAATAACATGCTTTTGTAAATGGATCACAGAACAGCGACTAGGAGTAATGGTGAAGACAGACCTTACCAACGGCTGCAAGGGATTGGAAGTTGTTAAGAGCCACATCTCCAAGGGACACGATAGATAGAAGAAGACTTTTTCATCCACTACTTCAAAAGCATGCCATAGAGAAAAGGCTAGGGAGATATCATGACAATTGAATGGAAGTGAATTTCCAAGAGAGAGGTGAAATGGTAAATGCGAGGGAACTTTATTTCAGAAGTTCACAGAAAAAAAAAATTATAGCTTAGTTTTGTCTGGCATAGAACCACCAGTAAGCGGATTTCTTGAGATGAAAAGGCAAAGGTCAGATAGACTAATCCGCTAATTATTCTTTCTTTCATTGGCCAAAATTGACCTCAAGAAATAAATTGTATAGCGACAAAATGAAGAACGTTATGAAAAAAAGAATCAAGGAAAAAGAGAGAAGTGATATAAAAAGTATAAACTGAAGAAAAAGAGAAAAGAAAAAGAAAGAAAAAAGACAGAGAGGAGGTGTTGAAAGTGAGGTTTGATTTATGGCTAACTTCGTTTAGAATCTGTCTATATTTCTGAGATGATGTATTATGTACACTATTTACAGTGTGATTGGATAGCGAAACGGGGGATGTTAATGAATAGGAAGTGGTGGAGAGTCATGATTCCTATATCCTGACCCACAGAATAATAATAAGAAGACTGTAAACATTCTAAACGAACAAAATTTACATTGTTCGGACTATCGTCCTCATCTTTGTTGGTTGGAATTTCGATTTTAGTCGACATTCCAACCACCTTTCAGAAGGTTGGAGGATACAACGGCCGAAATGTTGTGATAAAGATTAAAGAGGACGATAGTCCGAACAATGTAAATTTTGTTCGTTTAGAATGTTTACAGTCTTATTATTATTATTCTGTGAGCCAGGATATAGGAATCATGACTCTCCACCACTTCCTATCCATTAACATCCCCCGTTTCACCATCCATTCACACTAATACATCAGGTAGATAACTTGTACCTTCCTCTATCTCTTGACGGCGAAATGCCTCGTGAGGATCAGATTTTCCAAACCCTCTTTCCTCATTATGTGTCCATGGAATTTTATTTGTCTCTTTTTGATTTTGAGTATAATTTTTCTTTTTGTTGCCATTTTCTTTAAGACTTCATTGTTGTTAATTCGCTTCGTTCATAGAATTCTCAATATCCTTATGTACAACCATATTTATATTGCTTCTATTTTTTTTTTATTCATCGCTGGTGCGATTGTCTAGCATTTATTGCCATAGAATAGGACTGATCTCACATAGCAATCCGGCACTCTTTTCTTTGTTTCTAGCGAAATCTTTCTGCTTCTTTAACTTTGTTGTTTGGAAGGCATCTTTCACAAATCTGACGTACGTTCGGATTTCAATGACCTATTTCCCATCTTCTGTTAAAACATTTTGCAGAACTTTTTGAGGTTTGGCATCTCAGGTCAAGATACTTCTGCTATTTCAAAGAGGAAAAGAATTCAGAAGGGAAAAAGAAAAATGTGTATGCAAATTTAATAATTGTAATGGGACAGAGGTGGTAATACATTTGTCTCGAGAGGAATCAAGAGAGAGAAGAAAAAAAGTTAAGACAACGATCGAAAGGCATCAGAGAATGAAAATCTTATCTATCTATCTATCTATCTATCTATCTATCTATCTATCAAGATAGATTAACATGGACAGTAAACTGAAATAGATCGATGGATAGCTATGAAGAGACTGATATCTCTCTTTCTATCTATCTATCTATCTATGGAGAGCTAGATTAATATCAACAGTAAACTTAGATAGCTCAATGGATAGATATGAAGGGAATGATATCTATCTATCGATAGATAGGGAGAATAGAGAGTGAGAAAAAGCAATGAGATAGAATTGGAGAAAGTCACAAGTGGGTGTAAATTTTACCTCGTTACCGCGAGCACGCGTGTGTGTGTGTGTCTGTGTGTGTGTCTGTGTGTGTGTCTGTGTGTGTGTCTGTGTGTGTGTCTGTGTAAGAAAGAGAAAAGAAAAGCAAAAATCAATGTATATAAAACGGAAGAAAGGTACAAGTGTTGCTAGGCATTAGCTCGTTACCAATATTTTAATATATATATATATATATATATATATATATATATATTTAAATATTAAGAATATATATTTATGTGCATATACATGCATATAGCTAGAGAGAGAGAGAGAGAGAGAGAGAGAGAGAGAGAGAGAGGAGAAAGAACTAAGAAAACAAAAAACTAAAAATATAGGAATAGAACGAGATAAACTTACATGAGGGTGGAATCGTTTGCTCGTTACTGAGATAGATAGATAGATAGATAGATAGATAGATAGATAGATAGATAAAAGGAATAAAAAGTGGGGATACAACGGGATGAAATGTAAATGAAAGTGGGTCTTGTTATATATATATATATATATATATATATATATATATATAGAGAGAGAGAGAGAGAGAGAGAGAGAGTGTTTGTAAGAAAGAGAGAATCAGAAAAACGGGCATAGAACGAGAGAAAGGTATAAAAGTTTACAAACATTATCTTGCTACTCAGAGCAATAGAGAAGAAACGAGAAAGAGGTGCGTAAGTAGAATGAGAATAAAACAATGGAGAAAGAATAGGAGAAAGCCAGAGAGAGATGATAACTTCTTACAGAGGGAGGGGAATAATGAAAGCGAAAAAAGAAAGAAAAAAGGGTAGCATGAGATAAGGTGAATGAGATTGAAAGAGAGCACTGGCGCGTCGATCGACCGAAAGATCGGTTCCTTGCTGCTCAGTTTCAGTAGAAACGATTGTTCTTTATTGTTGAAGGCTGCCCGTCTCCCGCAGACTGGGAGGGTGAGAATTAGTTGTCTCGGGGCGAGCGACCGATTCGCTTCAATTCGATTAGCTTCGATTCAGTTCGGGTTCGGGTCGGGTCTTGAAGAGTCAACTCGGTACAGACTGGATGGATGGATTAATTTGTAAGTAGAGACAAGTAACGCGAAAGTGTGAAAACGAAAGAGAACGTCCTCTACGGAGAGAGAATAAAATGAGGTAAAAATGAAGTAGAATAATGGAAAGAAATGGCGGTGAATTCGAAACTGGGAACAAAGGAAAACAAATTAAAAAAAGGAATACAAAAAAGAAAGAGGTCAAAGAGAAAGATGTAAAAAAATGTGAGAAAAAAGAGAGGAAAAAGTAACATAATGATTAGAAAACTAAAGGAAAAAGAAGTAAAGAACGTTACGTGGATAAGAATAAGAAGCAAAAGTAAAGGGAATGAAAAAAGAGGAAGAATAAAAATATATTTGAGGAATTAAAATAAAGGAATAGAAAATATAAGGAAGGAATGAAAAATATAACAAAAATATATAAAATGAAATCGAATAATGAGGAGGAAGAATAAAGTTATAGAAGGAATAGGTAGAATGTAAGAATGAAAGAATAAAAGAATGCAGAATGAAAATAGAAATTATAACGAAAATATATAAAATGAAATCGAATAATGAGGAGGAAGAATAAAGTTATAGAAGGAATAAGTAGAATGTAAGAATGAAAGAATAAAAGAATGCAGAATGAAAATAGAAAATATAAAGAAAATATATAAAATAAAATCGAATAATGAGGAAGAAGAATAAAGTTATAGAAGGAATAAGTAGAATGTAAGAATGAAAGAATAAAAGAATGCAGAATGAAAATAGAAAATATAAAGAAAATATATAAAATGAAATCGAATAATGAGGAAGAAGAATAAAGTTATAGAAGAAATAAGTAGAATGTAAGAATGATAGAAAAAAGAATGCAGAAAGAAAATAGAAAATATAAAGAAAATAAATAAAATGAAATCGAATAATGAGGAGGAAGAATAAAGTTATACAAGGAATAGGTAGAATGTAAGAATGAAAGAAATAAGGAATGTAGAATGAAAATAGAAAATATAAATGAAAAGGAAGTAAGTGGATAAAGAAAAGAAAAAAACACGTGAAAATGAAATATAATGAAAGAATAAGATAGAATAATGAAAGAAATTCGGATTAAATGAAGAAAATAAGATGATAAAATGGATATATAATGGAAAAATGAAAATAGAATGAAAGAATGAAAACGCAAGGAAGGTATATGATGAAGAAAAATAATATGAAAAAAGAACAATAAAATGAAAGAATAAAACAAATCAGAGATGAAAAATAAAAATAGATGTAACAAAGAAAGAAAATAGTTAAATCCTATATATAAAGTACAGTGTATTTATGTGTGTTTGTCCGTGTTTCCAAGCAACCTCCTCCGTTCCCCCTGGTCCGATTTCAATGATTCACAGGTCATTCAAAAGCCCTAGAAAAGTTAGGCGCGAGGGACGATTTTCGTTGAGCTCAGATTCAGGGTTGCCAGATTATGCAGGGTTAAAAACATATATTAATATATTATACTAGCCATTATCGTCGCTTTCATGGTTCAAGTGAAGTAACTTTTATTTTCCTTTGTAACTTTTATTTTCCAAAATTGAAGTGCATGTTTTATTATAAACTCGCTTAAAAGCTGCCCTATCGGGCGGCATTTAAGCTAGCTCCTGTGGAGGACTCTTGGTTTGGCCTTCAACAGCTACGAAGGAGTAGATGCGATAAGCATCAATAAACTGCAGATGAACTCAAAATTGATCGCTGCATTTAAGTATTGAATTAATGTTTAAGCTTACCTGTTAAAAGTTCAACGACAATTCTTCTGCTGCCACTGATGATTTAATGTACGTAGGTCTTTATTTTTCGTACAAAGAATTATTTTTATTTCATGGATGACAGAACAGGGGAAAATTTGTAAGATAAAATAAATATAGTGTTAAGATGGGAGATAGAAAATTAGAATTAGTTATACATTCAACATTTGAAGATTTAGAGAAGCATAATAGATAATTTAGTAAAACCTATATTATGAAATCTATATGAATAACTACGAAACTGGAGTGAAATTATTCAACAAATTCTGGGGTTAAAAATCCCCAACTCTACTTTATAATAATTTATTCGCTAAAGGCGCAATATCTTTATTATATATTATCTACTTCTAGGTGATATCACTCTTCAGGTTTAACTAATTCGAATATTGATTTAAAAAAAAGTATATTTCATTAATTAACTATCCTTCATCAGTATTCTTTTATTTGAGGATTGTTCTGATTTTCTTATCAAAAATAGTTTCTGTTTAGGAATATTGTCTTATATAGTGCAAAAAATGTCTTTGAAATTTGCATTTTACTTGGCATTTAACAAGTTGGCATCTATTTGTAAAACTTTCCTTAAATATAACAAGCCAATTTATGAATAAAATTTTATGAATAAAATGCTCATTTAAAATTGTTCTTTCGACGATTTCAAGTCGTGAATATATCTTACTTTGCGAAGTGGTAGAGCGCGGGAGAAGGCTGCTAGTAATAATATAAAATGAAAGAATAAAAATCAGAGGAGAAAGGAAAAATATGACGAAGAAAAATAATATGAAAGGATAATAATAGGGGAAGGAAATAGGATAAGCTGGAAGAATGAAAGAATAAGGCATTGTAGAATGAAAATAGAAAAATATTTGTAAATAAATGAAGAAAAGAAAACAGTATGAAAGAAGGAAATATGATGAAAAAAAGAATTAAATAATAAAAGAAAATAGGATAAAATGAAGAAATCTAAAAATGGAACAATTAAAACAGTATGAAAGAATAAAAATATAATGAAAGAAAGAAAAACAGTAAAGAAGGTATGAAAAATATGAAGTAAAAGAAATGAAATAGAGGAATGAAAAATAACATGAATGTGATAAAGAAAGAAAACAGAACGCAGAAATGAATGAAAGAATAAAAGAATTCAAACTAGAATTAGAGATTATAACGATAATATATAAAATGAAATCGAATAACGAAGAGGAAGAATAAAGTTATAGAAGGAATAAGTAGAATGTAAGAATAAAAAATATAATAAAATAAAAATAATGTAAAATAAAAGGATAAAAATCGGATAAAAAAATGAAAAAATTGAATGAAGAGAAGAAATATAAAAAAAATAAAAATAGATGAGTAAATGGGATAAGATGAAAGAATAAAATATTGTAGAATGAAAAAAAACAGCGATGAGAATCGAAATATATGAACAAAGAAATAGAATGAAAGAATAAATAGAATGTAAGGATAGAAATAAAAAGAAAGTATAAAAAAACATGGATGAAAAAATGATATACGTGATAAAGAAAGAAAATAGAATAAAAGAATAAAAACAGGTTTGTCATTAAATTAATTTTGTGGATTCTTGACATTAAGTGAGATCTGCAATATATACTATACATTCTTAATTTAAATACTTATCCTGAAAAGCGTGCTGGGGGAGGTGGGTAGTGTAATTTCTGTAACTTATCCGAGTATTCCTAATATCAGTTTCGTATCACCAATAGCGGTAAATCAAAATGATGAAAACAAACCATCACCGTCTGAAAATGTTGCGAGCAATAAAGTGTTAATATGACTACTTTAGCTATGGAGTCACTGGAAGAGTCTTCTCAGTTATCAAGACGTTGCAAGGCGGTAGGTCCCTGAAGGTGAATATTTAATGGCCAGTCCTACGAGTTTCAGACGATCAACGAGGATGTCCACGAAATTTCGCTTCTCGGCTCAAGCCTCTTTCTCCTCTCCATAAATGATCTACCTAAGAGTATATTACGATCATTTGTGAATATCTGGTTGCTACCGAAAGACAAGCGATTTCTGCTATTTAACCGAACGTTGTGGGAGTAGAGACGAGATGCATTCATACCTTTCCCAAAATTATTTATGCGAAAGTGAACGCAATGAACACGTAAAAATTGTAGAGAGAGAGAGAGAGAGAGAGAGAGAGAGAGAGAGAGAGAAAGAGGGGGGTTGGAGTAGATCAGAATGTCTCATTATAAAACGGAGCGCCTAAAGTATATTACCACAGCCAAGCCAGTTACAACATGAACAATATCAAGAATGCGATGGATAAATTGTCATCGCGTTTACGCAAAAAAGAAAATAACGCTAACATCTCATTTTAACAAATATATTTATTAAAATTACACAAAAATATTTTGAAATACTAAACAGTAAATTTATTCAAAATGCAATTGGCTTCAACTATGTCCTCCAGACGACTTTGGAACCTCCTGCATTTCTTCTGGACGGCCTCCAGACGACTTTGGAACCTCCTGCATCTCTTCTGGACGGCCTCCAGACGACTTCGGAACCTCCTGCATCTCTTCAGGACGGCCTCCAGACGACTTCGGAATTTCTTGCATCTCTTCTGGACGGCCTCCAGACGACTTCGAAACCTCCTGCATCTCTTCTGGACGGCCTCCAGACGACTTCGGAACCTCCTGCATCTCTTCTGAACGGCCTCCAGACGACTTCGGAACCTCCTGCATCTCTTCTGGACGGCCTCCAGACGACTTCGGAACCTCCTGCATCTCTTCTGGACGGCCTCCAGACGACTTCGGAACCTCCTGCATCTCTTCAGGACGGCCTCCAGACGACTTCGGAACCTCCTGCATCTCTTCTGGACGGCCTCCAGACGACTTCGGAACCTCCTGCATCTCTTCTGGACGGCCTCCAGACGACTTCGGAACCTCCTGCATCTCTTCAGGACGGCCTCCAGACGACTTCAGAACCTCCTGAATCCTTCAGGACGGCCTCCAGCATCTCTTCCCATCTCTTCAGGACGGCCTCCAGACGACTTCGGAATTTCCTGCAACTCTTCTGGACGGTCTCTTTGTTTAAGTTGGTGAATGCTGATATAATCTTCGCCTTCAGTTCATCTTGGGTGTTACAAAGAGTTTTGCTGGTCTCTCACACAACTGCATCCCACACATAATAATCAAGGGTATGCAGTCTGGGGAGTGAGCTGGTCAAATATAAAGTGAGTTGTGTTGCAGATATTGTCTGACAGCCATGAGTGCGTTTCCCCTGCTTGTGTGGCATGGTGAAGAGTACTGTTGCCAGACATAGGGTCTTCCAGAAGTCACCCTCTTGACCCAGGGAAGCACTACCTCATCAAACTACTTGATCTAGGCCTCAGTGTTCAGTTTGTGTGGTCAGACTACCCGTATGTCATGTCCACGAATACAACACAATTATATATATATATATAAATGATCTCTTCAGAAAAGGAAGAAGACCAAGCTAAATGACAGTGACATTTTCACAGCTAGATATATGTATTTGCATATTATAAATCAATGTTCTTTGTTGTGGCCATGAAGAAACCAATACGATTGTTTGAAATGATTTCTCGCAAGCGAGTCTGCAAACTTTCGAAGTGTTTTGGCTACAAGTGAAGAAATCAAGTGATATGGTACGCCAATATGTCTTTGTGACTGCTGAGTGCGCGCGATAGCAGTAATGTTAAAACACATTGAACAAAGAGAGACAAGACAAGACTTACTTTCGTCGTGTGTTGTATGTTGTCTATGCTGTTGATGGAGGCATGATGTGTTTAGCTGACCCTCTTTCACCGACTGTCCTTCGACTGTTTCTTTGCAGATCTGGTCGGTGACTGTTGTTGACGAGTCATTTTTATCGTTGTTTGACAGCCGGTGCTCGGCTCACGAATCCCATCTGAGTTTTAGCGGGAATGTACGCTGTAAACCGGACACTGACGTATTACTGATCATTTGGAGTTCACGTGACTCCAATGAGATTCGAGAAACCACTTAATATGGAGCCGTGTTTGTACAGAATTGGAAAAAAGTTTTTCGTATCTATTGAATTTAGTAAGTTTTAGGCGTCTCTTATTTGTTGTGCTTCCCGTATTGGCCGTAAGATATATATCGTATAAGTGGGAAGATAACGTCGGCAACATTCCAAACACCTTCGTAATCACCATTAGACTCATCCAATTCTTTCCGAATCTTCTCCACTGTCATCAGATCGACATCCAAACACTCTGAAATGTTCGTATTGGTGCTTCTGGTGCGAATGCTAAGCAGTACAGCATGCAGTTTCCATATTTCTGGCGGAGTGAGTTGGCTCATGGTGATCTTTTTCTCATAGACAGTGTCTAACTGATCCTACTACACTGGGCAGTCGACAAAATAAAATAAGAAAAATCAACGCGTATGCGCATGCGCGAAATTAAAATATAAAATCGCGACAATTTACCCATCGCACCCTGTAAATGAGAACCATCGAAGCGCCGAGTTCGTTGTAGATTTTGTTTCTTCTGTTCGACTCTTACGAATACAATATTTTCGTAACGCGATTGAGTTTCATTGGCTATATTTCACAAGGAGTTCATCGGCAGAAAGAGAATTTAGAAAGAGAGAGGAAAGAAGAGGTTTTAGCAAAGATGGGAAAATAGAAAAAAAAAAGAGACAGCGAAAGAAAAAAAATGAATAAAACAACTCCAAGTAAAACAAATTAAGAATGGGTTTATATGTCTGTGTCCAACTCAACAGAATCGTTGAATTTTATTTAGCCTAGTCGGGCACGTCATAAGACTATACTGGGATTGAAAGACACTAATCTTGCATGGAATTGAAAATTACATGCCTGGCACGGATTTGGGCATTCAAAGTCTGCTCTTATCGATTTGTACATACACTACAAATCAATTATAAAAAATAATTAATATATAGCAATAATTTTTGTAAGATTGTTTAACTGATTTCCCAAGAGTTAAAGACCCCCATATCCCCAAGGAAATTCAGAATACGGAATTTTACATGAATATGGAAATGCATTGCTTAAAGCGGACGAATATTCGCTACGTTTGAGGCCATCTGACAGCGGTGCAGCCAGTCGGATAACTAAATACAAAATATTTATAAATATAAAATATGTATAAATATAAGCACAAATTATGTCGTCTGACCTTATTTGAACTCGACTAAAATTCAGTTTTATTCATATTTACTTTGTTTCAATGAATTCATGCAATTAAAATATTAACGGTGTAGTTCTATTTTAATGTTATATCCATTCAAGACAAAGACGATTATGGTCCTCCTCTGCTTCTTTTTCGAATATAGAAAATTTAATTAAACAATAACAACAGACATAATAACCGGTTACTCATTCTACTGTTCTCGTTTATGTATTTATTTATTTTCTGCTTCTAAATTCGTATTGCGAACTAGTGTAGATGTCTTCCTTGTTTGTTTTTTTTTCTTAACTGCAAATTACCACGATTTCTTCGGAAAGATAAGAGAGTAGTTCCTCGTTGAATCCTCCCCGATATTGCATTTAGTGTTGTTCTTATAGAATGACTGCCACCCAAGATACAGAGCCTACTTTACCCTGCTATTTAAACTTTGGATGGGAGAAAAGAAATCGATTCATGCCTTTCTTAAGTGCATCATTATGAAAATAAACATAACAGACTAGGCTAGAATTTGAACTCGGATCGCTGCTTCCACTTTCTCATCGATAGCAGTTGCGCTAACCATAGTTAGAGACTTTTGGTAAGTTGTCATTCTAATCACGTAAGCTATAACATCTTATGAAGCAGAAGCCTTTAGCAGACAGACTGACCATCAAGTGAGGTAGGCTTCTTTAAAATCGGATACAGTAAAAGCCAGGCCATGATTAATGGCAATTTTGAAGTGGGATAAATAGATGAATACGTCAAGTGTAAAGAAGAAAAAGAAATAAAATTTTGTGGATGTGAGTTTTCGCCTGTCACAATGACTCTTTCAATGAGGCTCTACACTTTGAACGATTATTAGGGACTCAAATACACCCCACTCATCAAGTGTAACTCATATACAGGCTGTCCGAGAATCAATCAGCAAAACAATTTTTTTAAAATCTAATTTTTATTTCTGTTCATCATGTTAAATAGGTTTTAGAAATCTATCAGGTTCTAATTTTGTTTTTAACTTTATAATTTTTTCCTAATTGTATTTACATTTGACTTTCAGAACCACTACTAATAAGGAATTTACAAAATCTTTGTTGACTTTCCACTGTGCTTCTTTGTATCAAAAAACGTAAAAGGGTTTATCGCTCAAAGATCAATAGTTTAGCTGAGCATAAAAAACACACTCACTAAGAAGTGCAGGAGATAAACACTGAAATGCATCAAAATGTGTTTCGCAACGCTAAGCATAGAATTGAATTGTTCATGGATATAGACGAAGCACATTTTCAATAAAATGTTAACGTAAAAATAAAATTGTGTCAGTTTTTTTTTTAAATATCCCATTTTATTGAAATCGATAGTAAATTCTAGGACACTGTAAAAAAAAGAAAAAGAATTAAAAACCTGTGAATGAGAGCTTTCGCCAGTCACAATGGCACTTTCATTGGGGCCCCATGCTTTGAACGACTATTAGAGACTCAAATACACTCCACGCATCAAATGGAATTGATAAAGATGCTGGAAAAAAGTTGGCTCATTCTGTAACACCAATCCTGACCCTACTGGATCGATGCACTCTACAAGCCCGGCCGTTGGTCCTGTCCTGGTATTACAGGTTCAATCAATGTCTCCAGTTCACAATGTTCATTTGATTCCACTTTTGATCCTGGAGAAGAGTTAACAAATAACAAATAGTAGATCCCGGAAGATTCAGTTGGTCTATCTGCAAGTGTTTTGGGGCGAGAATCAGGCCAAGCAGAAAAATCAAATATAAACAAGTCGATTCGAGTCAAAAGTAAAGTTTATGTATATGTATATAAGGAAGAAATTGATCCAAAAAGAATAATGATTCTTTTACAAGAAAGTAGTGTATATGAAATAAAGTCCAGAAAAAAAAACAAATATTGTAAATAATTCTGAAAGGAGAGAAGTAGTTTTCGGGTTCACCATTTTGTTTTTAGTAGTTGCCGTAATTATTTCACTATCAGGATATAAGTGGGGGTTCACTGGCAGTATTGCACCAATATTGTAGATAACTTGAATTCACTTCCTCCCTTATTACAGCAGCAAGGGGACGCTTTCACTCTCACTGTCTATCTCACTTTCTCTGGTATATTGGTTGTCAGACACTTCACCCAGCTCCAATTCCAGCTTCAACTTCACCTTTGACTTCGTCTTTTCTCAAACATGCGCTTAAATAAACGCGGTGGTAGCGAAAAAGACCCAGGGTGTTAGTAAACTTAGGATACAACCTGATTACTAACCTCTCCCCGCTTCAACATTAAATGAACAGTCTCTTATTCTCAGTTGGTATTCCATAGTTCATATAAACACTATTGTTTTGACATTTTATATTAATAATTCTGACGAAGCACAGATTCTCTGGGCACAAACTTTACCACAGATTATTTTTCTTATCTTTTAAACAAAATTCTATATTACTATAATAATTAATATTTCAAGAGTGAGCATGGCTCTCAGCTACAATTCTACTGCTCTTGAAACTACCTAACTTCTGCCAGGCTTAATTTCCCATGTTAGATTAGACCAAGAATGAAGTATTGATCCATATCTGGGTTGGATCTATCCAATTTTCTATTTCCAGCCTTGATAGAGTTCAGAATCATTTTTTACTCTGCATCCTCTTTCCTACAGAAGGAACGTTCAAGCATATCGCTACAATACGCAAAGGCGTTCGATAAAGTACGCCACAAACACCTGTTGGAACTGCTTAGCAACCTTAATATATTTAGGAAAGATATTAGAATAAGCAAGAACCTATACTGGCAGCAAATGTTCTACATACGGATAGGATATGAATTCAGCAGATATACAAAAATAGAAATGGGTGTGAGACAAGGATGTGTCTTCTTACCGGACTTATTCAACCTAAACAGCGAGGAGATTCCGAGGGAACTAGAAGTGTTACCAAGTTTAATTATTGGCGGCCACAGTCTTAAAAACATTAGATATGCAAATGACACAGTGTTGATAGCGGATATAGAAAGAAATTTACAAAAAACCCTACAGAAGGTAGGGACGGAAAGCGAGAAGAAAGGATTAAACATCAACTAAAAGAAGACAGAATGCAAGGTTGTTCTTAAATGAATGAGCCTAAAGTACGAGCTGCAAATCGGAGGTACAAAAATCAAACAAGTGCGGAAATTTAAATATCTGGAATTATTTTACCAGAGGACAGAAAGAGCGACACTGAGATCCGAAGGTTCTCTCTTCTCTTTCCGAGGTGGGTTGAGCCGGCTCCAATATTGGAGTTTCCTGGGAATTTGGAATTCACAAGCGGTCCCCAACCCGCATGTATAGCACATGAGATTTTGATTATAGTGGTGAAGGTTTCGTGCAGGACCATCCACACTTTTTGAAGGGCCGATTACAGAGACTTGGTGCACTACGTGCCACAAGGTCCCCGAACGGCCCTCCGTAGGTTTTGAATTCAGAGTTTTCCTTCTAGACCAGGTGCCATCCAAGGCTATAGAACCCAGTCTGTCCTGCTATTTACCCGTAGATGGGGGAGGGGGTGGAAAGAAGAGGATTCACACGTAAATGAATGTAATGGATTCGACTGGAATTCGAACCGAAGGCGTACTGGGATGGCCAAGGAAGCATTACAAAAGCTAAGCAGTGCACTAAGAAATAGGAAAATTTCATTAGAAACAAGAAAATAGTACTAAACTGCTATGTGATATCTCTCCTCCTGTATGGCAGTGGATTCTGGACGATCTCCTCAAAGATGAAAACAACTTGAAACAACAGAAATATTGTTCTACAGAAGAATGCTGAGGATACCATGGACCGTACTTGGGAGTAAGGACGAAGTTTTAGAGAAAATGGAATAAAAAAGGAAGCTAATACTTAACATCAAGAAATGACAGTTGAGGTTTCTAGGGTATATAATGAGGAAAGTGGGTTTGGAAAATCTGATACTCACGGGACAGATAGAGGTCAAGAGGGACAGAGGAAAACAACGTATAACATAATGGGCTTGAGTAAATGGATGGTGGAACAGGGTTATGGAGAAATAACAGAAAGACAAAGTTAACTAAGAACTACAAGGGAGAGGAAGATGTGGAGAGCCATGATCCTACGTTCAGACCTTTAGATCCAAGACTCACACTGCTAAAGTCGAATCACGCAAATTCCCTCCGTATTCTAGTTGTAAGTAGGAATTTTCACTCAGCTTTTTTCCAAAAACTGCTACTTTGTAAAATAGACTCCTACGTGGAGATTTCCCTGAGTACTACAATCTTAACCTCCGCAAATCAAGGGTCATCTCTTCTCGTTATTCGTATAATCTTCACTTTTTTTCTCCTTTTCTCAAACCTCGTTCAGTAGCCTTCTAACTTGAGCGGCTCTTGAGCCTTGTACATGATGAGTATTGGTGTACAATGTTATATTGACAATATCTTTTTGTCTTTTCAGCAATTTTACTGCAGGATCATAAGCAGATATACATTTAGTAAAATGCCTTTATCATATATTATCGCAACGTTTCGACAGTTTTAACCACCAGCCTACTTCAGGGAA